AAAAAAAAAAAAAGTAAGTTCTCTTCAAGAAACACTAATCAGAATATGATATTCTTTTTGTTTGTATCCTCGCTCTAAAAATGCAATTTTGATACTTTAACTATTTGGAAAGCTTTAAAAAATACCTACATTAAGGTAGTAAAGAATTATGCCTAAACCTAAAAACCCCAAAATGCACACAGAAAGCTTTTCAGTGAACAAAAGCAGTCTTCAGAATGTCCTTGCTATCAATTTTGCATTCCAGGTTCTCTTAAGGATAACGAAGTAGCCCAACACCAACATGCCCTTTTAATAAAGTAATTTTCAGAACCTCTGTGAAACAGCTTTAAGATTCTAAGGACCACACATTTATACGCTCTTTAAGCACTATATGAGGTATGGTATTGAGGAAAATACAATTATCTGTCACAGAAAAGATCTGAAAATAACTAATGGTTATCCTGGGGTGGTGATATTATGGGTAATTTTTTTCATTTATCTATACTTTAAAATTTTTCAATATAAACATGATCAATTTGATAATATATATTATTCCTTAATGTGACAATAGTATCTTCTCACTTAATAATTTCCTTTCCAGGAATTTACCTCCAAATCCCACTCCCTCTTCCTGCCCCTCCCCTGGAAAAAAATGCAAAGAGTTACATACACAAATATTATTCACTGCAAATTATTTACTATAAGTGAAAACTGGAAATGTTCAATAATAAGAAAATTGTTCAATAAGATAGAATTCGTCTACAAGGCAGAACACTATGCAGCTATTAAAAACATTTTATAAAGTTATATATAATAAGCAAAATATGCTATACAATAAGTGGAAAAGAGGATGTAATTTATGTAAGTGTATACAGCATGTGATCTCATCTATGGAAAATAAATAATAAAAAAAGACGAGGGAAATATGCCATGAGAATGATTTACTCCCATTGGTGGAGGAATAGCACATGTACTTTTTGTGCACTATATTCTTCTTTATATTTTCTATAGTAAGATTCTTTAATAGAAAACAAAAACAACTTAAGGGTACAAATGACTTCTTTGGAATTTTATTCAACAGACAAAAACCAACAAAAAAATCAGCCATACAATTAGAAAGAAAAATTCTTTGCTAGCACAGATTTGATAAAATAAAACACTACTCAAGGACACTCAGAGCATAGCAAACTAGCAACCACTATTGCCTAAAATAGTTTAACAGTCTAAATGCTATTATTCTTTTCCCATTATGCTAATTTTATAAAATTAGCTACTCTAATTCATAAACCACAAACCAACACTACAAAGCTTTTCTGAAGTATTATATTAGGAAGCTGGATTCTATCACCACCTGCCTTCCCTTTTGTGTGCAAAATTTACATAGAGATCTAACATGAGAATACAGCTTCAGATGATGATGTAATTATACTTCTTAAACAATGTTAAGCTATTTGATAGATTAGACCAAAATGAAGATCTCTTTGTGTGTACTGATTTTTCTTTTCCTAAAAGGCAAATAGTCTTGGATCTCCCATCTCTGTAGAAAATACATCATTCTTCAGTGATTCAGAACAAGGGACAGAAAAGAGCCAAGTAAAATTAACAGGGTCCAATTGTTTACCACAGAGATGTTTCAACTAAGCCCTAAAATTTACCTTGGGTTCAAACTTGGGAAAAAAGACCTCTTAAGTTCTAAAACACAAACTTACACTGACGTTAAACCATATTGAAGAAATTTCTCTAAGAAGTATAATCATGATATTTAGCTGATATTGCTCTTTATACCACTTTAATTGTTCTCACTGTAATACTGTAGTACGTTCAGCAATGAGAACCTAAAATAATGTTAAATAAAACTTTGTTTCCACCAGCCATCTTATTTACAGTATTTGAGATAGTTGTATTTATTGAAGACAGAAATATTTATCCAATGAATGAAGATAATAAACACTGCTTTAAAAATCCTTATTAATAGTATACTTTAAGAAAATTTTATAGGTGCTGTTGCTAAACAATTCTTAATGCAAATTACCACAAAAATTCACAGAGCAACTTTGCAAAACTTCAGATCTACAAGAACTTTTCTCTTCATTAATTACCCTATTTCCCTCATTCCTCTCAACTTTAAAATTTCCACTCACACCAAATTACCAGGGATACCCATCTTAAATTCACATTATTTCTTTTTATATGTTAAAGACACCTTCTTTGGAAAGGCAAAGGGAGATGGGTTCTACGGACTAGAAATTTAGTTTTTCAATTAAATCATTTTACACATGTATACTAGGATCCGAGTGGTATTTCATGATCCAACCTGTGTCTTCAATTACAAATGCATTGATCTCAGTATCTGATGGCTAAACCACGGTACTACTCCACAGTGCCCCCTAGCTCTACCAGATATATCAGTTTAAAAGGGACACGGTTTGAACTGTCAACTTCAAGAGAAAGTGTCACTCATTACCAGCTCACCTAAACAGTTCTTAAATAGATACCCTAGTATCTAAATTTGGCCTAATAAGTAACAGCTGAATTAATTAAATCTTATGGCCAATAATGATAAAAGCTGATGAGAAAAAAAATTATGAACTAATGGGTTTGAAATTCAACCACGTAAAAACGTTCAGAAGTTCTGCAAGAAGCTTTCTTTAATGCATAATGTTTGATTTTTACAGTCATTAAGCAAGGACTCATATAAAAATATACATTAAAAATGCCTTCTTCTATGTAGTTTATGGGGAAATAGCATGGCAGTAGGCCATGGTTCTTTAGAGGAATGGAATCAATTTCTTCATTTTTAGAAATGCTGGGATCAAGATTAAGTAATCTCACTACAGTCACATTATTTATCATTACAAACTTAGTATAATTGCTAACTATGGTAAATTTGTGAGAGAAAATTTGTGACCTTGGTCCTGATGCTATAAAATAATTTGGAATGCCTCACCTTTAGTAGGGGAGGACAAAAAGTAAAGATGACACAATGACATATGCCCCTACTTTGTGGAAATGGATTCCTTCACATTAAGCAAAACTTCCAAGAACAGCAGCAACAAAAATCACTCAAGTTTTCAAATGTCCTTCACCTCACACAGCCATTCTGAAAATCCATTCCTACGTTACTGCATATTCAAACTCTAGCACATTCGCACTAATAAGGGGGAAATCAACTGAGTATGATGAAAACTGAGGGAAAGAAAAACCTGAAAAAGGACGAAACTCCAGAACAACTACAATAAGGCAGGGTAGAGTACGTCAAAAACACAAGGGTTTATTCTAAAGAATGGTTTTGTTTCTACTGTTTTTCTGAAGTATTTAATTTGCACGTCTTAAAATAGAGACCCTGAGGAGAGCAGCTTGAGGCAGTGAAAGGAAGGGGGGCGGGTTAGGTAAGAAGAGAGACTTGGGAGAAAATATGTACGGTGCATCAGAATGTGCAGTGGAGTGGGGGATGCTGGCTGGATTCACGGCCAGGAAGCAGTTGAGGGCTTTCGGAGTAGAGAGGCAGAATTAGCGGTGGCTTAAGGAACGCGCACTCGCCACCAGAACGCACACCTGGTCAAGGGACAACCTGGGCGAAGCGAGACCGGGCCCCCAACTGTGCAAGCGCAGAGGTGACCATTTTAACCAGTTCTATTGTCTGGAGTATTAGATGGAAATGCCTCAGGCACGAGATCAAGCTAGCCTGACACCAAATCAGAGACGCTATCTGGCAAAAGGAGGGAGAGAAGATGGACAATGGCCGTCCGGGCATTCCCGGCCACGGGGGCCCATTCCCCGCGGAGCCAGGGAGGGGCGCCGCGGTCCCGGGGGCCGCGCGATGCCCTGTCCCGGGAGTCCGAGCGCAGGCGGCCCCTTCCCCGGGGCTGGCGACGTCCCTCCTCGCGCAGCCCGGGAGCACCCAGACTTCCCCTCCCACCCCACCCCCAGCTCAGAGCAGGGAAGACGCGGAACTTGGGCTCTGGAGCGGAGGCCACAGATCAGGTCACGGCCCGGGTGGGAGGCTCTCGGAGAAATTCCGTGCGGCCACCGGGGGTGGCGTAGAGAAGGCAAAGCTCGGGCCGGTCGGCTTTCCAGCTGGACGACACTCGGGTCGAGGTGACCGGGCCCCGAGCCCTTCGGCGCTCACCGACCCCCCTGCACCTCCCGGGTCCTCACAGTCCCAGGCCCCTCGCCTCAGCCAGAGACCCAGCCTCTCCGCTAGACTCAGCAACCCCCCCAACCCGGTCGCAGCCGCCCCTCCCGGCCAACAGCTCCTCTCTCCCGGACCCTCGCCTCGGACGCTCCCGCCGAGCCCCGGGCCGCACCTCCGTCTTGGTGATCCGGTGCCGCCCCAGCTTCACCACAGCGAAGTTACCCTTGCCCAGCGTGCCCTCGATGTCGTAGAACCCCACCCGGACCGGCCCGCGCTGCAAGTGCTTCGGGCCATCCGCCATGACCATGCTGGGCCCCGCTGCTAGACACGGCGGACTGGAGCGCGGGCTGGCGGGCCGGCGGCGCGGCTTGGCTCCGGCGACGCCGCTCCGCTCGCTCCCTCGCTCGGTCCCTCCCGCTCGGCTGGGCCCAGCCAGGCGCGCGCCGCCGCTGACGTGCGCCGACGTCAGGGGGCCGGGGCAGGGAGGCGGGGGCGGGACCGGGCCTCGATTGGTCACCATGGCGACCGGAGCACCGCCGACGTCGGCGGTAGGGAGGGAGGGAGGGAGCGAGGGAAGACGGGCGGGGCCTGGACGGCGCGTTCTTTCCGGACTCAGGCGCCCCTGGTTCTCCGCCGCCTTGCGGCTGATAGGGGCGGGGTCACCTCCTGGCCCGCCCAGTGCCTCGGCCACCCAGCCGAAGGGCAAGAGCGAGCCCTGGTGGGCGGAACGGAGGGGTGCAGCGACCTGGACCGGCTCTGCCGTCTCCTTGCCCCGCAACAGCGTTCTCCGCCTACCTGGGGGCCTTCCCGCCAAAACCTCTCACCTGAGACTGCAGTGCGCCGGCAAATTTGGCACCTGCAAAGAGCTGCGGTTGAGCAACGCATTGCTCGCAGGCTCCTTTCTTCGCATCCCTTTCTCATCTGTTTCTATATAAATCCCTCCGCATTTTGATGTCTCTGAGGAATCATTCTGACAGTAGCACGGTCGCTTGCAGACTCACAGAATGTCAGCGCTTGAAGAGACACTAGAGATCACTTAATCCAGGGATTTGGAGCCCCACATGGGCTTCAAAGCCTCAACCCCCCTAAAATGTATGCGAATTTTTCCTTCTTTGAGATTGTCTCTGGAGAGATGGGACTGTAGCTTTTATCAGATTCGCAAACGTGTTGGTGACCCTGAAAGAGGTTAAGAAATACTTACCTTATCTAATTTCTTTTCAGATGATGAATCAAACCCCAAGGAATGAAGGGAATTGCCAGGGTCATGCAGGTGAGGGTAGAGTTAGGATTGCAAATCCACACACACCAGTCTTCCATGTAGTGGCCCAAGGAAACAGGAACAGCGTTATTTTTATATTTTGAAATATATTACATGCCTCCACGTCTTGCTTTCTAAATGCCAATCTCTACTGAAAGGAACCAGACTCTGGAGAAATGGATGATTCAAAGGCAGAAAGAGGGAAAGTATAAAATGCCCATGAAGATCTTGTGCCAGAAAGCAAGATTTTCAGAGTGATGGAGAACAAGTCAACAGGAAACGGGAACCAGCTTGAAGCTACCTCCGTTTACCAAAACTGGGACACTTTGAGCATCACCAGTGAATAATGACTAAGATGGATTATAACACAATGAACTTCAAAAAAGAATACGCAAGTGCATATTGATTCTTAAAATATTATATAAATAAATACAAAGGCCGGAGAGGAGAAATAACTCTTCTTGACAACTAAGACACTGGAGGAGGGGCGCCTGGGTGGCTCAGTCGTTAAGCGTCTGCCTTCGGCTCAGGTCATGATCCCAGGGTCCTGGGATCGAGCCCCACATCGGGCTCCCTGCTCCGCGGGAAGCCTGCTTCTCCCTCTCCCACTCCCCCTGCTTGTGTCCCCTCTCTCGCTGTGTCTCTCTCTGTCAAATAAATAAATAAAATCTTTAAAAAAAAAAAAAGACACTGGAGGAAATGGCGAAATTAAGAAATCACCATTTTGCAACCATTATGGTAATAATTGATTTAGATAGGGAATTATCTATCAATAGATCTTAAAATCAAAATAGATGTTAAAATCACTGAGACAGGATGTTTACATACTCTCACAGTATCCTCAGATTTCTTATTCATTACAGAGTGGTAAAAATGGCCCCTTTACAGTGGAGAAATCTGACAGACACCACCCTAACCAAATGATCAAAGTTAATGTCACCAGTTATGGGATAAAATGATATGATGTATCTTCTGACGTGAGATACTGAGAAGGATACGGTATCTCTTACATAGTATCCCAGTCAAAAAATCAGTATTCTGGGGCGCCTGGGTGGCTCAGTCAGTTAAGCGACTGCCTTCGGCTCAGGTCATGATCCTGGAGTCCCTGGATCGAGTCCCGCATCGGGCTCCCTGCTCGGCAGGGAGTCTGCTTCTCCCTCTGACCCTCCCCCCTCTCATGTGCTCTCTCTCATTCTCTCTCTCTCAAATAAATAAATAAAATCTTTAAAAAAAAAATCCGTATTCTGAATCTAATCACAAAGAAACAATCAGAAAAATGCAAACTGAGAAATATCCTACTCATCCACCAGCCCATACTCTTTTAAAAAAAGGTCAGTGTCATGAATGATAAAGAAAAGGCTGAAAACCTGTTGTGGATTTAAGGAATTAAGGAGACATGTCACTAAATGCAACATGTAATCCTGGATTGGGAGAAAAGTGCTATAAAGGAATGTTTTCAGGACAATTGTTGAAATTTGAATATGGATTGTATATTAGATGAATATTTTATTTTTATTTACATGTTAAGCCTCTTGAATTTCATAATTGTGGTTATGAAAAAGCACAGCCGTATTAAGAGATACACACTGAAGTATTTAAGGATGAAAGTTTTTGATATATGTAATTTACTCTCAAATGGCTTAGAAAAGATAGATAATGTGGCAAAATGTTTAACTGCTAAAACTAGATAAAGGGTATATGGTAGATATTTCATTGTTCTTGCAACCTGTTTTAATTTTTTTAACGAAAATTAATGTGTATATGTATACGTTTTATTAATTTAATACTTTTTGTGTAAGATCAGCTTGTTCTTGGGCCCTCCACCTGCTCACTGTGCTTCTGTCCTGCCCTTTCCCCAAGCAATACCTTATTCTGCTGTGAATTATGTTGTCTGCAAAAGTGAGGAGGGTGAGACCAGTGAGATTTCTGGATTGATGAGAGTAGTATGAGGGTTTTTCTAACTAGCCGGAAGCCCACATATATACCCTAACTCAAAAAGAGTTCCCATATACATTTTGCCAGTTAGGTTAATGTGTTTTAAGTGCTCTGGGGGTGGAAATTTGGGAATTTGATGAAAGGCTGCTTACTCAAGAACCAGAAAATGCAAATAGAGACCCAACTGAAGCCAACAACTCCTCTTTAGAGTACATCTTTTGAACAGAAATTAAGACTCTTTTCTATCTGATTTTTTAATCAGATAACCAGGCCAACTACCTCCTTGCACAGTCTGGGATTAAGACTTCATTTGGGGCTGGAAAGAGGAGAAAGTGATGGTAGGGAGTACCAACAGGTTTTTGGTAAACAGAGATCAGTGTGAGGATGCTGAGTGTCTGGAGGTCAGAGAAAGAGAAGCCGAGATAGGGGAGAAGTAGGAGGAGTTGTGCCAAAAACAAATCTTGCCCCCTTGGAAATGCAGCAGGTGCACCACTGAAAATTACCAGGAGCTGTAAATAGAAGCTGGAGAAATGTATGCGGACTAAATATTGCAAGCTTGGACACTCTGATGCAGCTCGATTCCCTCAGTCCAAGAGATCAACTTTTCCCTCTGCAATTTTAACCCTGTGTATCTCTTATGTGCTTTTGTTCCAATTAAATGATAACCATATACATTATAGCAATTATTATCCAACTCTCATTTTCCTCCCCTCCTTCTCTCTCCCACTTTCCCCTCTTCTTGCCTCTTTTTTTTCCCTAGACACATAAACACACATACCATAACCACCACCACACATCAGGAAAAATAATATAAAAGGGAGAAAGAGAAGATCAGAGAAGCTTCATACAATTCTCATCTTCTTCATCTCTAGTTTTAGTATCAATGAGGTCGAGTACTCTGGATACCAGATTTCCTATTTGCTTGACTTTAAAATGCAATATGCCCAGCTAATGCTGTGAGTCCACTGTATTTGCCATTGAGGTGATTAAAAAGTGTTAAGATAACATGTCAAAAGCCAAAAGAGTGTATGTATATAAAGAATTAAAAGAGATGGTGAGAAGCTGAGATAAGAATTAATTCTATGACATACTGAACTTAGAATAAAAATGTGGAATGAGGAGAGGAGTTAGCAAAGAGTTAATTAAAGAGTGATTTGAAATGAGAAGGGAGAAAACCTTCATGGATCACAGTGCTATACATATTTTGCTGAAGCTGATAGCCCATGAACCTGAAAAACAAGATATGTACCATGTTTCCTTGACTGTGAACAACATCTGCATTTTTACTGTTTTATCCTTTTAGGACTGAATAAAAGTCAACATACCAGTAGGCTCAGACTGAATTTAGATTTAGTTCAAAACTGAAAACTGGTGGAATCTTTATTGGATGACTTAGCTTAGAAAAAAGAGGTTACAAAGCTACAATGAATACTTTGCTTTTTATATTACACAAGACAGAAAGTACATGAGAAAATCCAAATCACTGACCTATGCCAATTACAAGAGCTTCTCATGGGTATAAAACACAGGTATTCCTGAAATATGCATCAATCTGTCAGGTTAATGAACACGTGGGTACCACTATGTTTAAGAAACTACTATGGAAATAAAGCTAGAGGATTGATTATTTAAGCAAAACTTTCTTTGGCTCTTTTAAAGGATGTGTAGCCAGGTCTTAGGTTTCAATTTTTCAAGTTCAGTTTTAGCTACAATGGATCTCCTCTATGTGAAGAACATGTGATTCTCTCTAAACTTTGAAATTAATTTCAAAGATTTTTGTATCTCCTCCCAGATGACAGATTTGCTTAGGATCCTGATTTGAAAGGGATCTCAGAGAGTATCATAGGAGTCCATCTTCCCATCTGATACAGAAATCTCTAGACACTTGACAGATGGCATCAAGCCGTGGTTTCCTGCTTCATGCTTCATGCTTCATTACACGTCTCACATGTAATCTATGTGAAACAGTTCATTTCAGTAGAAAATACACCCCATATTGGCTTCAAAGCTGCTTCTTTCTGACTTCTGTCCCGTTTCAGTTCTTTTCTCTGCTGTAAGACATTACAGACACACAACTATTATCATGTTTTTTTTCTATTGTCCAGGCAAAACATTCCCAAATTCACTATCTAGGTAATTATGTTTCTAGCTCTCTACCTTTTCTTCTTGTGCCTCTCTGGACTCTGGCTTGTCAAAACTCTTCAAATATTTTTCCCCAAACTGA